CATGGACTTAGTTACAGTCATTATGAATATCTATAATAGAAAAACTTCTATTTAAAAATAAATTTCTGATCCAATCTTGAGAAAGGAGGAGGTATTTATTATTTGCTTGTTTGTTTTTTCTAAGGTGATCAAGGATTGTAGAACTTAGGAAAAACAATCAAACAAACATACAAAAAATCTTTAGGTCAAAAAGAATAGCATGTCAATTACAGAAAAAGTAAACTTGTCAAGAGTTATTGTGAGTGAGAAAAAGGCACACAATGCACTTTTGGACGGGCTAACATCTGGTTAAGAATAGGGCCCAGTGGCTAAGAAGGAGAGCAGATGTGCTGTGGCTGCAGGTAGAGACAAACAAACAAAGCAAATAAGTGTACATAAAACATTTCATACTACCAAGGGAATCCCATCAGAGCATTCTGAAGGCTCCCGTAAGGTGATTCTTTCATGCTGTTTATATTTGGAGACATTTAAGTGCTCTTCTTTTCTAAAACCCAAAAACCGTCTTGCCCTGCTCAGCTTCAGTCGCCTAGGGCTTGACATGAATTGCACTGGGCTACACACTGAGTCACATCGCTGTGTTCCTGAAATACCACTTTGAATTCAATGTGCATTTACCTGTTTTGAAGCAGGCTGCTAATGGCTCTAAATTCAAGGTCAGAAACATTTTTAATAGAAACTCTCTGATCCTGTGTGTCATTTTTGCACCTATGAAATATTGTGGCCACTAAACACAGTGGATAATAAAAGTATAATTTCCTCTCAACCACAATAACCTACTGGATAGAATCCTGAAGTATCTGTTAAGAGCCAGTTTTTATTTTAAACTTTATGACTGAATAATGCCCAAAAGTCTTTCTCAGTGTTTACTACTTGTGTTGCAATTTTACAATTATGTTGCATTTAGCAAATAATAATAGGTTTTTCATTTTAAATGAACATATAAAAACTGTTTTATTAAATATAAAAGTAATACAGCTAATTCAAAAATTTGTCAAAATTTAATAAGCTAGCAAATGAATGTTTCCGTCCCTACAAATTACACATAGAAGGTGTGATGTGAAAGACATGTGTGCATGAAATAAGCTTTCTATTGAAAAGAGGCAATTTTTTCTCATCCCTTGTCACTCACTAAGGAGACATTTACCAAACCACAGCTCATACTTTTCTATGAATGTTGCATACTGTTTCTTTGGGATGGCTTAAAATTTTATCCTTCCAAACATTTGGAAAAAGACAAATCTGACATTCTCACAAAGAACTGGCCTAGAAGAGAATAAACCATCTGACATAAACTCTTGAGACATTGTGACCAATATGAATGTGTGGTGTGGAAAAAGACAGCAGCTGTGCACTGGATTTGGTTTAAAGTGATAATTCCGTAATGTTTTTAAATACCAACTCATCCAGGGACCGTGGATTAGGATGGGGGGTATTGTTTCTGTCCATCGGTGTCCTGCAATGTCCTTCACATCTACTTCCTCCAGAAGATTCCTTCTCAATGGGAATCATTAGATGACACCTCCTCCAGGAAGCCTTCTTTAATTCTTCCAGGCTGAGGAGTGTGTTATTGCTTCATGTTCCTCTAGTCCTTCTAAAATGATATTTCTCTTAATATAGTAATTATATATTCCATTTTCTTTTCTACCTAGATTCTTTGCTTCCCAAATGTAGGTAATCTGAACTGTTTGCCTTGCTACCCTCAGTGTACAACACAGAGTATAAGTACATGACATATTTATGTAATGGGAAGAGAGTTCATGTTAAAAAACAGAATTTTGATTATGTTTCCTAGATTCAAAAATGATTTTGTTCTTTCTGGGACAATTCTTTAGTCATTTAAGTTAATGGCTTCTCTGCCTCAGTTTTAAACTCAACAATGTAAATAGAGAGCTGTATCTGACTGGAAGATATTGGGGCAATGGATACTATTTATGACCACAGACATATCTCTTTACTAGTGTATTCTAACCTAACAAAACTATGCCATTATGTAACATTGCTTCAGGGTGTTATTATCCCTTTTGGCTTATTCTGATGAGTTTGTGTAAATCTGTTTCAGGGTCTGTTATCACGTTTTGCTTAATTCTGGTGAGTTCACATAGGGACTATATCATGTCCCATTCTTCCAAGTGCCACAGGGTGGTCCCTTGAAGGAAGAGTCTGTTTTGGGTTTAACTGGGATTAAGCTTTCTTATTCTGGAACTATGAGTAACTTAACTGCCAGAGTGTGTAGCATATTAGGCAGTTTAAAAGAGCTGTACATGCCAGCCTATATAAACTACTTTATCAATACAGGCTCTTTTTGTTCTCAAAATAAACAGTTGAGTCCTTATTGTAACCATTTTTCTTCATATTTTTTGGTTGTTGGCATCAATGAATTTCTAAGTGTACATTTGGAAAGTCCAGCCCCCACACAGGCTGACACTAGAGGTCACTCACATCCATTTGTTGCATCTATGGCATTCAGAATATTGGAGGGTAGCACCCGTGACTGTTGAGCATTCAAGTGTGGCCTGCCATGGAGCAGAGTACATTTGGAGAAAATAACCTCTTTTTGTCTTGAAAAGTGTTTGCGTGGAGACTCCCTGACTACATGAAGTCCACCAGTGGAACAACCTAGCCCTGCCTCATCAGCATGGCCTCCCTCCTCCCATCACCTGCCACCTTTGTGCCCAATACCATGCTTGCTTTTATTGTAGGGATCACACAGCATCACTCTTTATGTTTATTACCAATGCCTCTCCAGGGCAAGGACCCTGTCACCACTACCCTCGTAGTCTGGCCCAGGCTAACTACATGAATTATAATTTAATGATTTCCAATATGTTGGTTGCTCTTGATGCATTCTGGTTCCCAACCATAAGCATGGTTTCCCGTAAGGTAGAAATTACTATGATTACTATTCTTTTGCTGACAAGAAAACTGTGGCTCAAATTGAGTGTCTTGTCTTTCAATACTGAGAAAGTAGGACAAGTTGGGATTCAAGGGTAGGTCTACCTGCCTATATAACAGACACTCTTCAGCATAGTCTGATCCTCCCCCATATCCACTGTCTAGGGAGAGATCATGGCTGCAAATGCCTTTGGAGTAAATAAGTAGATTGAAAATCAATAAAATTCAAATATTTAGGAATTTCTTTATCGAGACCATTTGAATACTGTTGTTTCGTTCAGAAGTTTGTGAGACTCTTCTCTCACATTGGGATGAGTGTAGTTTTTTTTTTTTTTTTTTTTTTTCAATTTTTTTTTTCAATTTTTTTTTTTCCCTGAAAGTGGTTATTAAGGAAAATATGTCTGAAGAGAAGACTTGATTTCCCAAGTGTGCTGCAGTTTTAGGCAAAGGAGAGAATATATTTCTCTGGAATGTTTTCTCTGAGTTTCTGTACCATCACAAAGTGTTCTTTGCTGTTTTCCAAACCAACTTTTGATTGCAGTGTTGTCCCATGCATTCACCAATGTGGGATGCGATTTAAATGCAAAATCCTAATGTTTGAGCTGATCCCAAGCAATGAATGACAAGCAGGGCAATGCTACTGGGCATCTTGTTGGGTCAGGTACTCCCTGTGTTTGCAGGAGAATCTTTATCTGGCCCTTTTAGCTGATTTCATTGAGGCCACTCACCAGAGGAATGAACATTAATAACCTGCTTAGCTTCTCATTCTGAGCCAGAATAGAATCAGGCACCCAAGGTGAAAGCTTCTCTACCATATTATGAATTCCCTAAGTCAAAGTGTTCCCTAGGATGTCCTGAAGAATTATTTCCCATTTAATCTAATTCAGCAAATCTTTGTTCTGGGATCTGTAGTGAACATTATTTCTTTATAAATAAGTTTTTTGAGAGAGAAGAAACATTTTGCCACCCTTAAAGTAAGCAAAACATGTATTTGACACCTCAGGTAATAAGGAATATATATATATATATATATATATATATATATATATATATATTTCTGAATTTATTCAATTGAGAGTTCTATTTTTATGATATTTAATTCCCAAAGAAACTTTTCATAAATTTAAATCTCCTGTTCAAATGTACATTTCGAATGGGAGCCCTGGCACTGTCCTGATTAGACTATAGATGCCAGACATACAGTTTTCCTGAGACCATTCTAATTTTATTCCCTCACTATTAGCATCCTAGTAGAGAACTGTATTCTGCAACCTCAACAAACTCTTCTGATAATTACTGGCAGTGAAAATCCTAACAATTGGGAAAATCTCCTTTCCATTTATATTTTTTATAGAGATCATCATAACCTGGCTTTATACAGGTTAATTACAAAGATAGAAATAGAAAAAATATGGTCTATTTTCCATCTACTCAAATTTGCATTTTAAACAAATACACATGTGAGAAAGAAGATAAAGAGATGGGCAGACAGAGGGAAAGGAGGATAGAAATCAGGAAGGTAGAAAGGAAGAGAGAGGGAGTGAAACAAAAGAAACCAGGAAGATAAAGAGAATTTCTTTTACTCAAGTTTTTGACAAATGACACAATGTCATAAATCCTAAAATCTCAATGATTCTTAAAAATAAAAAAGACTTTCCATCTTATTCTAGTTCTTCAGATCCACTTTCTTAGCTCAAGGGAAGAGAAGCCCTACTTTTCAACTGGGCACTTTTGAAAAGCAGTGTTTTCGTTTTAAAATCTGTTTCAGCAGACCTTATATTTCTTCCTCATTTTTGCAGGTAATTTCAATGAAAAAGAAAGCCAATGGATTGTGGTCTTAGAAAACTGCTTACATGATGTCTGTTTCCTGTGCTCTAGACACGTGGCACAGCTGTAAGTAAATGCCACACACTGCATGATGAATTGGATGGCTGCAGACCGGAGGCAAAAAAGATAATTATCTCATTTTCGTGGCAATTTGCTTAACTGGTGGGACCATGCCAGAACGGCTAGCAGAAATGCCCTTGGATCTCTGGACTCCATTAATAACGTTATGGATTACTCTTCCCCCTTGCATTTACATGGCTCCAATGAATCAGTCTCAACTTTTAACAAGTGGATCCCCTTTGGAACTAAACAGGCTGAGTGAAGAACAGCGGGTTTTGAACCGTTCCAAAAGAGGCTGGGTTTGGAATCAAATGTTCGTCCTGGAAGAGTTTTCTGGACCTGAACCAATTCTTGCTGGCCGGGTAAGCTTCATATTTTAAGATCCCAATTTCAGGGTTTGTTCATGGTCTTTTTATGTTTAACGTCAGACTCTCCACAGTTGTTACCACACATAGCTGTAATTCCTTTAGGCCAGATGGTTAGTTAGTTAACCTGTTGGTTTCTTTAGGAATACGGATAATGCCATGGTAATGATTTAAAATAATCCTCTAAGGAAAGCTCTTCCTATCCCCAGTTCCATCTCTTTCACCCCCTAGAGAGACAACACTATGACATTTGTGTAATGCATACACCAATAATCTTTGTTTCACATTCACTTGTGAATTCTCTATGCCAAACCTTTTTTTTTTTTTTTTTTTTAATCCTAACTTAAAGTACTTGCACAGGAACTTAGAAGACGTGTATATTTTCACTGAGTTTGAATTCCTGCCATCTGAATTGTTATGCTATTATTTCATTATATTTTACTACCATGTACCTTCAATTTCAGATATATTTTTCTCCTTTCTGTTTCATTGTTTGTTGTCTCACTTCATAGGAGTGAGGGAAATACTCGATGTAGATGCTTTACAGTGTCTTGTGTTGCATTTTGATTAACTTTAAGTAGGAAATGAATTCATTTCCTAGCAGAAGCAAATGTATATAATTAAAGCTTAGTTGTGTGTGTGTGTGTGTGTGTGTGTGTGTGTGTGTGTGTGCATTACACTGGATGGCAAGTTCTTTGTATCAACACGGTATGCCTGCTTTGCAAAATCACACTGCAGGTTATTGAAGATTTTACATACTTCCCCCCGCCTCAGAACTGTTCAAAAACTTCTTTAATTTTGACTCACACTATCATCATAGGTAAAATTTCAATTATTAGCCTGCCAAAGGCCGATTTTCCTGATAAGTTAGATTTCAGAAGTGAATCATGACATTTCCAGAATGTGATGATTTAAAAGAAAAATAAAAGAAGAATTGAATATTTATCTTCAAGATTTGAGTGAACTCTTTGTTTTCCACTAGGAAGTTCTGATAACATTACTTTGTCTACTCTATTATCTTGCAAAACAAATTAAGCAAGGATCATTCCTCATTTTATGTGGTTCTCCTTGAATGAAGGAAGCTTGGACGAGGAGATATCTTGAGTCCCTGCACTCATCTTTTTTGAGCCCTTCCTCTGTACGAGGCACTCCATTAGGCACCTGGGGATACAGCCAGCAATCAAGCAACCACATTTGCCTTCTAGGAACTCACACTCTGACACTGAGTGTTCTTTATCTGTTTAGCAGTGTTATAAATGTACCTCATTGGCACTAACCAATCTGACCCAAATAATAATCTCACATATGTATATTTATTTGTGTATGATCATATGTATACATGTACATACAAAAATAAATCTGGAAAATAATGAATTTATACTCCTTTTATCCTAAGTTCAAAACACAAAAGCTTACAAAATCATTTAGTATGCTTGATACAAATTCAGGTAGCAGAACTGACTTGAAACTATTTATAGTTATACATCTCATTACTGTGACTGCTAATATATTTCAGCAGAGAAATGTTAATGTAGTTGGTTATAAGATGCCACCCCAGACCCTGCTGAGGGTGGTACTTATTACATAGCTTATGAAACTTGATATGTTTCTATGAAAGTTTCTCAATTCCAAAATACATCTAGCCCCAGGAGTTTTGGATATGGGCTTCTCCACTTTCTTTGCTTCTTTCTTTTCTTCCTTCACTTTCTTTCTTTCTTCTGTAGATGTAGAAAGTGAGATTAAGATGAATTAATAAACCAAACCAATATCACAAAATTAGTAAATGACCTACCTGTTTTTAATTTCTGTTGCAAATTCCCAAGGCCATAATTTCATCCACTGTAACCTGTTATGTATTATTAACTAGGCATCTAGAGTTTAAATTGTAATTTGCACTTGAGTTGTTGAGTGTAGAATTCAAAGTTCTTACATTTCTTCTTCTAGATATTCAAAAAGCCTTTAATCAACTCTCAAGCAAGTCATTTTCATACCATATAAATTTTAGAAATATATGTATATACATTTAATGGATGGATACTTCCTCCCTACGTTTCTTAGTTACCTCATAATGCAGGTATGTCACGCTGATCACGTACTGCATAATGTAAGTAACTGAATATGCTGACCCCAGAGTGCATTCCCTTTTTATCTGAAAAGAGAATGTAATTAATGCAGGATTTGTTTTGGGCGAAGAATCTGATGGTTGATTTCACTTCCATTCTTTAATGGAAGTAATAGCGACAGAGGCATACAGCATCCTAATGTGACTTAGTAATACTTGAGATGCTTGTGCTTCTTCGAATTGCAAAAATTGTCACTGGTGAACCCTTGAAATGGTAGAAATGCTTCTGAGTCTTAGCAACACCCGTTTTGTGTGAAGTAGCCCTTTCACATACATGCTCTCCACTCTGCCAATTCCCAAACAATTGTCAAGGATTAACTTGCTTTTCTTTTCTGTTTTGTACTAGGAATTGAACTCAAGACTTTCGGCTTGCCAGGCAGTCACTTGTGTTGCTGACTATATCCCTGGCCCTAAACTTAATTTCTGAAGGGCTTTTCTGTAAATACTTATAACCACACGCATTTCCTCTTTAAAATGCTATTCCTGAATTACGACAGTCTTGCCTTTGAGGACCCTGGGTTGTGGCAAAGCCAAAAATACATCTCAGGTGGTTGCTTCAGATTAGGAGTCAGGCAGAGTACAGGGATGATCCCTATCAGAATGCCCACCAGTGCTTTGCTGTGTTTTATCTCTGTGCAACAGTCTTTTACATCTGATTCTTTAAACCACTTTGCTGCGGAGCTTCTCCCCAGGAGCCAGCTAGAAGCATTAGTTACTTGTGAGCATACCTGCTCTTTAAAAGGGCCCCCTGCAAATCACTGCAGAGGGGGCCTTGGACCTAGCAGACTGAGTTCAAGCTCAAGGGCAGAGCCAGCTTTTGAGTGATGGGCTCTTAAGAGCTGCACATACACCCTTACATCATTTGTCATCTGCTTTTTACATATCTGTAGCAGCTGAATGCTGGAAAAGAATCTAAGCATTAGAGATGGACATCTCAGAGCTTTGAACAGACTTTTTCACCTTCTAGTTGCTAGCCAGAAAGTTATGAGGAAAGGTATTAAAGCTTTCAAAGGTTATGCAATTAAGGCAAATAAGAGAAGGTGGCTAGTGCTTGGCATGCAATAGTTTTAATTATAATTATATGACTAATTATGTAGATATGTGTTTATTTGAGAGTGGTAAACAAACATGTCAACAACTGCCTCCCTGGGTGAGCACCAAACTCCCGGAGTCTAGAGAGGGGACCTACATGAGTTCTGGTTGATGAGGTCGGGGAGGAAATGTTTCATGGTATCTTGAAGTTGATCCTGAGTCTTATCAGGTGGGGTCCGGTGGGAAGTGAGGCAATCCAGTTGGTCAGAAGAGTTTATACAAGTCATGGGAATAGAGTAAGATGACTGAATATTCCCGTGGTCAAAAGCTTTTCTGTTTCCTGTTGAATTAGAACAGAAGTGAAAATCACAATCTTAGAGACGGCTTCTGTGTCAGTTCTATCTAACCTACAATTATCATTCCTTCTATATCCCATACCCTCTTTCTATGTCATAGTTTTTTATTCTTTCTGGAATTATTATTCAATATGATTATAATAGGCTTATGAGTTGTCTCCTACCATAATTTAGGGTCCACAAAAATTTTTTTGTTTGTCCATTTTTCTTTACTGTAAATCCCCAGAACCTAAAACACTATCTGCATATAAGAAATACTCCATAATATTTGGCAAGAATACATGAATGAATAATTCATCCAAAAATTGGAGAAATTCATAAAAGCTATATAAACTCAATCAAATTTAATATAAATGGCATTTTTCAATATACAGAATAACGTGTTGATTTCATATTCTCTCTTTCATATTGCTGGGCCAGCACGGGAGTTTAAACAACTGTTTCTGTATATTGATTTTTAAAGTCACTTTTAGAGGTAATGACAGAGAAATAATTCACTTGGTAAGGCAACTCTCTTTCCCGAGCATGTGCAGGATCGCCTTTGTGGAGACTGTCCTTTACCGAGGGCAACAAACAGCACATTTTCTTCCAAGGCATTTTCAAACTTCTGCTTGTGCTTAGAGCACGAAATTGATTGGAAATCATCTGTCTAAATTTCTGGAAGGCAAATTAATAGCCAAGCAGGATCCATTCTTGCTTCCAGTTCTCTGTGGAACAAGGTGGTGCAGAGCCTATTCAAAAACAGGGAGGTCTTCAGTGCTCCATGTCACCAATGTCTTCTGGCATTGGCTTCCTCTGGAAATTCTAGCAGAGAACAAAGTGGCTCATGGGACTCTTAAGCCAAATAGGCTTACTTGTTCTGGTCTCAGAAAAGAGAAGGAGAATCCTTACGGTAATTTTTGATAAATCTTGTAATCAAGACAAAAAAATATTATCTTTGTGGTAAAATGTGAATTCATTCTCTGGTCCACAGCTTGAGGTCATCCTGAAAAATCTCTGTCTTAGTAAAGAGGGTGATTAAATAGGTATATTCCAAAACTATTTATTGAGCTTTACTGTCTGCTAAATCTGCTAAGTATTCCATTGCCAGTGAAGTCTCAGCACTAAGCAAATTCAGATGTATATCCTGTCATGAAACTAACGGTCTGCTGGTAGATGAATAGTAAAACAGATAATCACATGACCAAATGCCACATTAAAACTGAGACAAGCTCTTTGAAGTGAAGGAATCAAGTTCTGTTGAATTATATGCAGAGGAAGCGGACCTCTTCAGAGGGAGAATGGAATCTTCCCTAGGAAAGCAGCCTGTGAGCGGAGACACATTAACCAGAGGAGCCAGGATGCAGGGTTAAAACGAGAAAGCATTCCTAATGTAGCATTTGCAAAGTTATTTATAGAGTGGAGAGAAGGTCAGTGTAACTGAATGTCTTCATTCAGGCCGCTGTGACAAGTTAACATAGACTGGGTAGCTTATATACATTGGAAAT